AAGGAAGGAAGGAAGGAAGGAAGGAAGGAAGGAAGGAAGGAAGGAAGGAGGGAAGGAGGGAAGGAAGGAAAATATAGAATGAAAGTCCTGCTTTGAGGTGGTGGTGGGGCTCGCCTTTGATATGAAAACTTGGGAGGCTGAGGCCAGCTGTTCTACAGCGCAAGTTCCAAGACAACCAGGGCTACACAGAGAAACTCTGTCTTGAAAAACAAACAAAACAAAAATAATGGAAGTCTCACCCTGAACGTGCTGACACCATCCTATGGCCTGAACTCTGAATCTGAATAAAAAAGGGGAAAAAGGAAAAAAAAAACAAAAACCAGTTGAAGGCCAGCTGTTTCTCTACTTCCTGGTCCAATCCACTGAGTCCCATGCTCTATTGCCATGGGCTCCAGCATAGCTTCCTGGCCACGAGGGACTGTGAACTGAAGTAAATCCTCCCTCCCACAAGCCCCCCTTTGGTCTCAGGGATGAGAAAATACCAAATGCACTTTTGTCACATAGGTGACATGTACTCCTTACTGTACTTTTAGTCCCCTGTCTCTTCTGCTCTTCATGGGGGCTTTGCGTTTTTAACCTACTTTCAGGTCTGAGATTTCATTTGAGTTCTTATTTTTTTTTATCTTCTATTTCTTTGCTTAGCTTTTCTGCATCTTTGCCATGCTGTTCTGCTTTGGTTTGTTTTGGTGTCATTGTTTGCTGAATGCTTTTGCAGTCTTTGTCAGGCGATTCTAACATCTATCATCTTGATGCTGGAATTGTTGATTGCTTGTATCCATTAAGTTTGATGGTTTTTTTTTTTTTTCTAGTTCTTGGTTTGGGTGATATTCAGTTGATTTGGATATTTAGGGTATTATTAAAAACAAACTTTGGATTATTTAAGTCATACTTTAGCTGGTTTCCTGTGATCACACTCCAGCATGAGGTGAGGCAAGTGCCTTGTTTCTGCTATCTCGGGGTAAGAGTTCAGCTTCCCTCTCTGTCCTCACCAGAACTTCTGACTTTCCAATGCACTTCCTCTGCTACCACCCCAGGAGGGGAGGGCCCCAACTGCTGCCAAGTTGGTCAAGTAGAAGTAAAGGTTCAGGTTCCCCCTATGGTGTCCATTGCTTATTCCTGGAAGAAGAGACACTGTAGTTTCCTGTCACTGATAATCCCTTAGCAGGGAACTGGTGTTACACATAGCCTGGGAAACAGATGCCCTTGAACTCCTGACCCACATGGCTTCTCCCCGGTACTACTTATCACAAATATGACCAATATTCCATCAATGTTATGCTAAGAATCTAAAACATTTTTGTTTTTTTTCGAGACAGGGTTTCTCTGTGTAGCCTTGTCTGTCCTGGACTTGCTTTGTAGACCAGGCTGGCCTCAAATTCACAGAGATCTGTCTACCTCTGCTTCCCAGAGTGCTGGGATTATAGGTGCGTGTCACTGCACCCTGCTAAGAATCTAAAACTTTACATTCAGGAATCATCCAAAAACAAGAAAGATAAAGGCAGAACTGTTCGTTAACTGCAGTAATGAAAGCTTTAATGGTTTAGTGACTGACTGTTGGAGAAGGGCTAAAGTAGAGTTAGAGCCAGGCCCAGTGGTACACACCTGTAATCCCAGCACTCTGGGAGGCAGAGGCAGGCAGATCTCTGTGGGTTTGAGGTCAGCCTAGTCTACAGAACAAGTTCAGGACAGCCAAGGCTACATAGAGAAACCCTGTCTCACTGATACCGCCCCCCCAAAAAAAATGGAAAAAAATGCAGTTAGAGAGAGTCATGCCTGGTGGTTCATGCCTTTAATCACAGCACTTGGGAGGTAGTAGTAGGTGTATCGATATGACTTCAAGGCCAACCTGTGCCAGGTCGGTACTCCGCAGGTGGAACTGAGAGGAGGGTGGCCAGTCCAGCTGGACGCCCTCTGAGGCTGAGCGGGATGATGAGTGTCGACGGCCTGGACCTCCCCAGATGCCCCAGGGAATAAAACACCACCGAGCCGGGAGATCTATCGAAGCAGGAACTCAGTTTATTGAATAAAGCTGTCCTTTTTATAGGTTTGGGTCAGGGGGCAGGATTAAGGAAGTGAGGTAAGATGACGTAGAGGGCAAGGTTAGGTAGTGCAAGGAGAGGTGGGCCGTCGGCAAAACTCCACGTAACAGTTACCAGGCAGGGTTGATTTTAAGGTGGATATGCTGAATCATTTTTGCCCGGAAGTGGCACCTCTTAAATCGGAAGCTAAAGACAGGTCTCCACACTCGAGCCAGCCTCAGGTAGATGTAGCAGGCCTTATCAGGCCCAACAAACCTGGTCTACCATAACAAGTTCCAGGGTAGCCAAGGCTGCATAGTGAGTAACAACCAGTTATAGGGGCTGGCTAGATGGCTCAGCAGCTAAGAGTGGTACTGTTCTTGCTTGCGGAGGATTTTGTTCAGTTCCCAGCATCCTGTTGGGTGGCTTCTGACTGCCTGTAACTATGGCACCAATGTACCCGATGCCCTCTTCTGACCTCCAGAAGCCCTGAACTTGCAGGCATTTCACTCAGCTGCATACCATACAGACACACATTGTTAAAAATAAAATTAAAATAAAACAATCCATAAAAATACACAATTACCACCAGGCAGTGGTGGCGTATACCTTTAATCCCAGCATTTGGGAGACAAAGGCAGCAGATGTCTGTGAGTACAAGCTCAGCCTGGTCTACAGAGTAATGTCCAGGACAGCCAAGGCTACAGAGAGGAAAAAAAAATCCAAAAATACAATTATGAAGAATATGTCATGACAGGGCAAAAATTACTTAACATACTATATTAAACAATAAAAAAGAAAAATTGAGTAATTTAAATAACATTAAAATTTAAGACACCTTTTAGTAAAAATGGTATCACTTTCTCTGTGTTCCAGTATTTATTTATTTTCTTCTTGTGTGTGCATGCACACGTGAGGAGAGAGGCCATGCAGCATGCAGACCTTCTCTCTCTCCACCACGTGGATCTCAGGGATGGAACTCAGGTCATCAAGCACTTACCTGCCATCTTGTGACCCTACTTTTGTGTAATTCTTTGATACACAAATGGGGGTGTTTGTGACTTATGTCCCTTTCAGATGCTCAGTGTTTCCAATGCACGCTGTGCCTTTACAAAGCAGTTTAAAGGGCTTGGGCTATAGTTCAGTTGCAGGCTAAGGGAGACCCAGCTTCAATCGCTCGTACTAAAAAGTCCATGAAAATCTTGATACTCATAGTAGATTGTAAAATATAATTTCTGAGAGCTTTCATAGCTTGAGATTATTTTGATAACATTATTTACATGTTTAAAAGAATGTTATCATTTTTATTGCATGAAATAACTTGAGATAAGTATTATCAGTTTAAAAAACAAAGTAAAAGGTGTGCAATAGATAAACAGGTAAAAGACCTGAAATAGAAATGTTCCACTTTGGTAATGACAGAAGATATGAATAAGTTGTAAATAGTAATAAGGCAACAGACTAGTATCTTAATTAGAGTTATTATTGCTATGGTGAAACACCATGAGTAAAGCTGGTTGGGAAGGAAAGGGTTAATGTAGCTTACACTTCCACATCACTGTTCATCACTGAAGGAAGTCAGGGCAGGAACCTAGAGGTAGGAGCTGATACAGAAACCTTGGAGAGGTGCTGCTTACTGGCTTGCTCCTCATGGCTTGCTCAGCCTGCTTTCCTATAGAACCCAGGACCACCAGCCCAGGGATGGCACCACCCACAATGGACTGGGCCCTCACCCATCAATCACTAATTAAGAAGATGCCTTACAGCTGGGTCTTATGGAAGCATCCTCTCAATTGAGTTCCCCTCCTCTTAGATGACTCTAGCCTGTGTCAAGTTGACATAAAATTAGCCTGCACAATGAACATTTTAATGTCAGTACTAAGAAAGATAAAACATGCTTCCTGTACATGGTGTTGGTAGGGACACATAGACTTTCAAACTATTTTGGGGAGGAGTAACTTGCAGCAGCCATTTTGGAGAAAGTCTGATATACATACCTTTAAACATTGATTGTTTTATATTTCTTTATTTTCATTTTATTAAACACGTTAGTCTACACATACCATGGTGTACATGTGGAGGTCAGAGAAAATTTTAGGCGTTAGTTCTCTCTTTCCGCTATGTGGGTTTCAAGAATCAAATTCATGTTGTTTGGCTTGAAGCAAGGGCCTTTACCCACTGAGCCATCTTGCCAGCCCAGCTATATATACCTTTTTGCCAGATAATCACACTTATATCAATTTCTCCTGTATAAAGAAATTTATATTGCTCAAAAGACAATGTATTGAAAGGTATATTGATTAATGTCTAACATTTTAGCATATAGTATAATACATTTTGTAGCTATATTCGTATGCAAAATGAATTAAATATGTGCATTGTTTTACAACCATTGAAAGTATCATAGGCTGGGTGTAGTGGCACATGCCTTTAGTTCTAGCACTCAGGAAACAAAGGCAGGAGGATGTCTGTGAGTTTGAGGCCAGCCTGGTCTACATAGTGAATTATAGGCCAGTGAAGGCTATATAGAAACTAACCAACCAACCAATCAACAAAACAGAACAAAACAGTGTGGTGCTACATGTATGTAATCCCAGCACCCAGGAGTCTGAGGCAGGAGGATCATGAGTTTGAGGCCAGTGTAGGCTACGTAGCAAGTCCAAAGCCAGCTTGAACCACATAGTGAGGCCATGTCTCAGAAGACCAAGGCTTAGGCGGAGCCATTGGCGGGGTGCGTCACTAGCCGCGGAGAGCCACTGTGCCATCCATCCTCAGTACCACAAAGAAGTGTGGCGCTACAGTGAGCATGCTTGAAAGAGAGAAATATCTCCAAGGCATTGTGTAAAAAGGAATCGTTTATATGCGCCTTTTTGCAAGATTGTCACATGCTTTTATAATTATGAAAACTAGGAACTTACTATTTCCGTACATAAAAGTTCATATGATAACATAACACAACATACAGCATGTGGAGAAAGCGTGTGAAAGACTAACCCTGCTTTATGTATGGCAACTTGAGGAACGTAGGGAAGTGTGTGCAGCAGTGAGTGCAAACTGTCTCTTCAGAGGCGCCACCATCCTTTGGAAACCATCACTATTGAATTTTATTGGTTTTGTGGGCTTAATTTCACATATCAATGTATAATAGCTATAAAAATACAGTTTACATCTAGTTTTGTTTTCATATGCCTTTGAGGATAAATATATAATATATGTAAAACATAAGAATCCTTGCTTTAGCTGGGCACTTGGCACATGCCTGTAATTCCAGCACTTGGGAGGCAGAGGCTGGTGGATCTCTTTGAGTTCAAGGCCAGCCTGGTCTATAAAGCAAGTCCAGGACAGCCAAGGCTACATAGAGAAAAGAATAAAAAGAAAAAAAAAAAGAATCTTTGCTTTATTGGTAGAAAAACAAAGACACAGAGATGCCAAGTAATTTATTTGAAAAAACACATAGAGGGCTGCAGAGATGTCTCAGAGGAGGTTAAGAGCACTGATTGCTTTTCCAGAGGCCCTGAGTTCAATTCCCAGCAACCACATGGTGGCTCACAACCATCTATAATGAGATCTTGTGCCCTCTTCTGGTGTGCAGCTGTACACGTAGACAGAACATTGTATATATAATAAATAAATCTAAAAAATAAAATAAATATTCTTATTAAAAAAAAAAACCCACATAGAGAAGGGGAGGTTAGGATTTGAGCCTCTGCAGTCTGGTTCTAGCATTTGATCTCTGTTTCACCAGCAGCCACAGAGAAATAACCAAGAAGAGACTTGTAGTTTTGGTTGGGAGTTTAGCCTTTAGTGGCTGAGCCATGTCTCTGGCCAAGAAAGGGCATCTTTATTCTCAGTCAAGTATAACTGTCATGTTTATTTATTCTCTCATTGTTTGATTTGTAGGTTTAGTAGAGTTTGTAAAGTGGTTCCATAATCCTGGGAGTAAAACTGACGTAGGTGGGCTGTTAGCTGCTTTAAGCTCTGTGGAAGAGAAGCCTTTACAAAAGAAACACGGGGCAGGGAGTGGTGGTGCAGGCCTGTAGTCCCAGCACTCAGGGAGGCAGAGGCAGGGGGATCTCTGTGAGTGCAAGGCCAGCCTGGTCTACAAAGTGAGTCCAGGACAGCCAGGACTCTGTTACATAGAGAAACCCTGCCCCCCAAACCAACCAACCAACCAACAAAAGAAACATGACTATACTAAAGTGAACAAAATGATAGCATTGGTGTGTCCCTCACCGTGTGTGGCAGTGGCTCGGGACTCTAGCTTACTGTCAGCTGTTTAGAATGACAGCGAGTTGTTTCCAGTGACCAAGTGATTACATATAGACTCTAAGGATTATGAAAGTTTCGTAAATGTTGGGTTACACATCTTAGAGGTTATATACATGGGGATGAATTGATCACCTTTCATTGTATAATTGTATGAAAACTTTAGGAATTAAGAAAAATTACAAAAACCAGGTATATACATTTCAAATCCCATTTCTTAGTCTTTAGAGCTCACATGCTTTGTGCCAGCAAATGGCAGGCATTATTCCTTTGGCCAGGGGCCACTCCATGGATAGTTTGGAAAATGGCTAGAACTAAGGAGACTTCTCAAAAAGCAGCGAAAAGGGCACCTTCCCTCTGAGAGCCTGATCTGGTGGTGACTCCAGCACTAACCAGAGTTTGGACGGTGGGCCTGTCCCTGCTTAGAGGTCTGGGTCAGTCAGTGTTCTGACTTTATGCCCTGCTCACATCTCTATCCTGTTTGTAACAAAGGCCAAGAAGAACTATGAGCAGAAGTGCCGGGACAAGGATGAGGCGGAGCAGGCTGTCCACCGCAGTGCCAATGCGGCTAACCCAAGGCAACAGGAAAAGGTACCTAGCGTGGCCTACAACCTGAAGGATTTAAGATTCACTCATGTCAGTTTAAAGCCAACTAAGGGGTGGGCGCGATAGACAAGGGTGTCATTCTCAGAAGCGGGTATGGGGAGGCGGGTCATGAGTTCAGTGCTACACTGGGCTACACAGTGAAACCCCCATCTCAAAAGATAAAAATAAAGCTAACAAAAAATCTTAAATTTTTAAGAGAGAGACAGACAGACAGACTGAGACTTGTGTTCCAAGTTTGCCTCTAATCTTCAGAACCAGAAAAGGCCCTTGTAACACTCTGAGGTTAGAAGCTCACTATTGGGGAGCAGTGGTTGGAATAAGAGGCTTGACCTTTTTCTTTAAAGTCTTCAAAACTCAGCTCCTGTGTTCTTCATTGAGAGCATGCTTCTTTAGGGCTAGAATTATGCACTTAATAATATGGGCTGGAATGATACTATTAATAGATTAAACAATTAATTTAATAATATGGCTGGAGCCATGCTCAGTAGTTAAGGGCACCCACTACTCTTCCAGAGGACCTGAGTTTGATTCCCAGAACCCATGTGGCAGCTCACAACCACCTGTAACCCCAGTTCCAGGTTACTTCTTCGGGCCTCTGCAGGCATTAGGTATGAGGGTAGTATACAGACATACATGCAAGCAAAACACTCGAACACACACAAAATAATAAAATATAAAATAAAGTAAATTAACATATATAATCTGAATATAATGTTACCCACAGCTTGGGGGTAGGGAGCTGTGTCTTGGAATATGTAGCTATTTTCTGATGAGATGATTAAAGATAAAAGATTTGCTTCTAAGGGGAATGTATATAGGACTTGGACCAGACCTTACCCTCCATTGATGTTGCTTTGTTCATGGAAGCCTGGATCAGCTTTCTTAATCTCTTTCTGGTTTTGGTCCTTACAGCTTTTTGTGAAACTGGCAACTTCAAAGACCGCAGTAGAGGATTCAGGTGAGGGGGGGAGGATGGACGGGGAGGGGGCTGTTCACATTATGCTGAATGTGCAGGACAAAGGAGCATTAGGAAGGAGCAGCTCGCTCTAACAAGCTCCCCGCTCCCCCATCACTGCAGACAAAGCGTACATGCTGCACATCAGCATGCTGGAGAAGGTCCGAGAAGACTGGCAGAGTGAGCACATCAAGGCCTGCGAGGTAGGTGCCTGGGGCTGCGAGCAGCTCAGGTGAGGACACCTCCCTTCCAGAATCCGAGAACCTGGTTCTCATGAGGGCGACTTAGAGAATGGAAGGGGTTGGAATAGTTCCTTCCCATCCTCATCTTTTTGCCTCCTCTCCATCTGGACCACCCTCACCAGCTCAGTCCAGAGTGTTAGTCTAATACTTGGTTAGTGAAGGCATGAAACAACTGAACCCTGTGCTTACTCTGAGAGTTTTGCCTGTACGGTCTAGGTTCTAAGGAGGGAAACACAGGACTCTATAAATTTCAAGAGAAAACAAAAGACACAAGCTAGAAAGTTCCTCTGCTTTCTTTTTTCAAAATTTTTTAAAATTTATTTTTTATTTATTACAATTTATTCACTTTGTATCCCAGCTGTAGCCCCCTCCCTCATCCCCTCCTAATCCCACTCTCCCTCCCTCTTCTCCTCCCATGCTCCCCTTCCCCAGTCCACTGATAGGGGTGGTCCTCCTCTCCTTTCCTCTGACCCTAGCCTATCAGGTCTCATGAGGACTGGCTGCATTATTTTCCTCTGTGTCCTGATAAGGCTGCCCTTCCTTCAGGGGGAGGTGATCAAAGAGCCAGCCACTGAGTTCATGTCAGAGATAGCCCCTGTTCCAATTACTAGGGCACCCACTTGGACACTGAGCTGCCATGGGCTACATCTGTGCAGGGGTTCTAGGTTATCTCCATGCATGGTCCTTGGTTGGAGTATCAGTCTCAGAAAAGACACCAGAGTTTTTGGTTCTGTTGCTCTCCTTGTAGAGCTCCTGTACTATTCCGAGGCATATATCCAAAATATGCTCAAGTACACAACAAGGACATTTGCTCAAACATGTTCATAGCAGCTTTTTTCGTAATAGCCAGAATCTGGAAACAACCCAGATGTCCCTCAACTGAGGAATGGACACAGAAATTGTGGTATATTTACAGAATGGAATACTACTCAGTAATTAAAAACAAGGAAATCATGAAATTTTCAGGCAAATCGGTGGGAACTAGAAAAGGTCATCCTGAGTGAAGTATCCCAGAAGCAGAAAGACACACATGGTATATACTCACTTATAAGTGGATATTAGACATATATTATAGGATAAACACACTAAAATCTGTACACCTAAAGAAACTAAGCAAGAAGGAGGACTCTGGGTAAGATGTTCAAGCCTCATTCAGAAAGGCAAATGGGACAGACCTCAGAAGATGGAGAAAACAGGGAACAGGACAGGAGCCTACCACAGAGGGCCTCTGAGAGACTACCCAGCAGGGTATTAAAGCAGATGCTGAGACTCATAGCCAAACTTTGGTCAGAGTGCAGGGAATCTTATGAAAGAAGGAGGAGATAGAAAAGTCTTCTGCTTTCTGACAGCAGTTTTTAACAGCGTCTCAGGACCAGCAGAGCCAGTGTTACACAAAGACTGGGTAGAAATGGGGATTCTCTTCCTCTGTGGCCTGGTAACACAGAGGAAGACAATGTAGACAGTCCTGATGAGACCTGATAGGCCAGGGTCAGATAGAAGGGGAGGAGGACCTCCCCTATTAGTGGACTGGGGGAAGGGCATGGGAGGAGAAGAGGGAGGGAGGGTAGGATTGGGAGGGGATGAGGGAGGGGGCTACAACAGGGGTACAAAGTGAATAAATTGTGATAAATAAAAAAATAAAAAATTCTAAAAAAAAAGCAAGAAAAATAAAATGGGGATTCTTAGCCCAGTCCAGCCTCTGGAGTCAGGAACTCTCAGGGTAGCAGCCAACAGTGTTTGTGAATTCAAGAATTAGAAGCACTGACTCACAGCCCTCCTGAAAGTAGAGAAGGAGCTGCTCCCTGCCCTATTGAGGTTTTAGGCTGTCCAGCTGGCTTGTCTCTATACCCTTTGGTACAGTCTCCTCTGCTCTTGGCTATGTGCACACACTCTCTTTTTCTCTTTGTCCCTGTCTCTGTCCCCCCGCCCCTGTGTGTGTGTGTGTGTGTGTGTGTGTGTACACGCGCGCACACACACACACACGTGTGCACGTGTGCTGGAAATTAAGCTTAGGATCTCACGCTTGTACATGCTCTATCACTGAGATATGTTCCCCGCCCCAGCCGTGTTTTTGGAATTTGTTTGCAAGTCCCAAGATCCAGCCTGTCTCAGCCTGAAGGTTACTTCTCTACTCCTGCTTTCTCCTCTCTTGTGGGTGCCAGGGATGCCCTTGGTGTGAGGTCCAGTGGGACTTTGTGCTTTCTTTTTCTTTCCTTTGTGTGGTGCTGATGACCAGGGTTATGGATGCATAACATTAGGCCAGCACCGATCCACTGAGCCATGCCCCCAAACCAATTTTGGTGACTTAATTTATCCTATTTGATTGATCTTATTTGATGAATCTGATTTATTTATCTGTACAATTAGATATTATGGAACTGTATGGCCATATTAAGCACTTTCTTCTGCTTTAATTTTTAACTCTACCCCTTGATGGAGGTTACAATTATTTAACTCATTGCTAGGCTAAATGATGCCCCTTCTTTACACATACATGTACATGTAACTTTTTCTGTAGGTGTTTGAGGCTCAAGAATGTGAACGAATCAACTTCTTCCGGAATGCATTGTGGTTACACGTGAACCAGCTGTCACAGCAATGTGTCACAAATGATGAAGTAAGTCAGGAGTATTCACGGAATATTGTGCTCTGCATGTTCGAACCGTCAGAGCGGAAACAGAGCGGAAAGAACCATGAGTGTTTGTTAGATCCCCCCACCCCCGACTCCCTGCTTACATTTGAGGTACAAAGAGATAGCGACTTCAATGTTGCTATCACTTGCTTGACTCTGGGTCCATTTTAACGTCACAATTCTCTAATTAAGAAGCTGATAGAGAGCAGATGATGAAGCCCAAGAACAGCTGGACGTGCAGAAGCCAGTGTAGAAGGCCAGCCCTGCACCAAGCATTAGCAGACCGAGCCATGCCCAGGCTGGCGCCCACTTCAGGGTGAAGTCATGCTCAGTATCTTCATGGCGCTTATCCAGAAGTGACTTGTGCACAGCCAAAGTACTGGGTCCCCAGACACCAGACGCCAAACTCGGTTGTCACAGCCTTTGCTAAAGAAATAGCCCCACTCATTCATATGGGACGCTGTTTGCATTTGTGAGAGGGACTCTCACAATTCATGGGAGTTGTATCATGGGACTTGGCATATAATTTCTTAGTTCCGTCAAACCTTAAAAAAAAAAAAAAAAAAAAGAAGCTGGGCAAGGTGGTGCATACCTGTAATTCCAGCACCCAGGAAAGCAGAGGCAGGCAGATCTCTGTGAGTTCAAGGCCAGCTTGGTCTACAAAGCGAGTCTAGGACAGCCAAGGCTACACAGAGAAATCCTGCCTTGAAACACCAAAAACAAAACAAAACCACCAAAAGCAAAACAAACAAACAACAGAGTTTTTGTCTGGCCAGAAAGAAACATTTCCTTGTATCTTAATTTTTTTTTTTTTTCATTTGAAAAAGGCGATAGTTCAAATGTACTAGGAAGGTACTTTTTTTTAATCAGTCTTGGACTGGGTATGTTTTCTGCTTTCAAAACAAAAGTTGCAAAGGAGTCAGTTGTTCATGAAAGTTCCTTTTATATAGAGTGATGACATAATTATCATCACTACACATCTACATAATGCTTTCTTTTGTTTTTCTCAGATGTATGAGCAAGTCCGCAAGAGTTTAGAAATGTGCAGCATTGAGAAGGACATCCAGTATTTTGTGAACCAGCGTAAAACTGGACAGACTCCACCAGGTGACGGGGGGCATGGTTGGGGGACCCTTAGGCAGCAGTGTTACTCTCTCTTGTCAGATGTCACAGAGCATTCTTTCTGTAATACTCAGCTTTTGCTGCTGGAACAAATAGCTAATGTAGATATGGGTAAATGAGAAAGGTTCATCTTGGCTGCAGTTTTTGAGGCTTCAGTCCAGTCATTGATACTGTTGCTTTTGAGGCTGTATTGAGGCAGCACACTATGGCAGAGTGGCTGGGCAGATTGCCCATCTTATAGCTAGGACATGAAAGAGGAAGAGAGCAGGGCATGACTCTAGTGACCTTTCCTGGTCTGTTCATACTCGGTTATACTTCTTTTTTTGTTTTGTTTTTTTGTTGAGACAGGATTTCTCTATGTAGCCTTGGCTGTCTTGTACTGGCTTTGGAGTTCAGGCTGGCCTCAAACTCACAGAGACCCGCCTGCCTCTGCCTCCCAGAGTGCTGGGATTACACGTGTGTGCCACCACTCCTGGCGGTTGGGTTATACTTCTTAAAGGTTCTATCACCTTCCAGTAGTGCTAAGCTGGGGACAAAGTCTCTAACACATAGGCTCTTGGGGACCATTCTGGATCTCTCTCTCTCTCTCTTGAGTCAGGGTCTCATGTATTCTAGGCTAGCCTTAAACTTGCTGCACAGCTGAGGATGAGACTGAGTTCCAGATTGTTTTGCCTCCATCTCCCGAGCACTGAGGAACAAGCACCTGTACCCAGTACCTTATGTAGCACTGGGGAGCCCAGGCCTTTGTGCACACTGGGCAAGTGCTCTACCAACAGCCTTGGCCTCTACCTGTTTCTGATGTCTTGTGTCTTCAAAATTGTAGCACCCATCATGTATGAGAATTTCTACTCTCCTCAGCGGAATGCAGCCCCACCAGGAAAGACTACAGGGCCCAACCTAGCAAGGTAATAACCAGCTGCTTTTCATGTGAAAATACATTTTAAATAACTGTTTATAGTATTAATCATTTAAGACATTACCCTTTATTTTTAATTGACAAAACGTGCATATTTTGCCTAGCAAGAAAACTTAGCTTTTTGAAATAGCATTTTTAAGTGAATGGAAAACATCACAAGGATACCCTTTAATGATATGAAAACTGTATGAAATTCAAATTTTGGTGTTCATGTAGAAAACTGTTAGAACATATAGAAAGCTATTGGAGCTAGTGGATCATGCTTTTTGTCTGGCTGTTTTCACTAGACCCGAGCAGAGGTACAGCAGAGATACTGAGGCCAGCAAAGCTAAGCCACTTTCATTGGGTTTATTGCATGGAAAACGTGCTACTCCTAATTTAAAGGGTCTTGATGGGAAAGAAACTTCTATTTCACACAAAGCCAATGGTGGGGATGGGGGTAGGGGTAGGGGTTATGGTGGGATTTCCACCCAGTTTTAGGAAAAGTAGAGAGTGTTTGGGAGAAAACAATACATACTGTTAATAGTAAGGGCCATTCAAAACAGTTAATATGAATTAGCTAGCTGACTTAATTCTCACAGAGGAGGGAGCTGTCTGTACAAAGATTCTGACGTTCCAGGAGATCAGTAAGTTTTGTTACAACAGCTGAGATGAAAGTCCTGCCAGTGGGCCCTGGGCAGGGCTCTGCATTCTGACTTCTGTGCATCATATATGTATGCCTTCCGGGTTTCTGCAAGTCAGAGCTTTAGAGCTGCAGGTCCTTTGCCTCCTTGACTCTCCAGGATAGAAGGCAGCTGATTACAGTATGATATGTTTGTAGCATGAAGTAGAAAAATAAAAAAAAATAAAAAAAGAAGAAAAGAAAAGAAAAGAAAAGAAAAGAAAAGAAAAGAAAAGAAAA